ACAGAACCACAATTGGTGGAAAGCAGCAGAGAAAGGCTATAATCAGCTAAAATCCATGAAATCCATAAAATGCTGAATAGTTTAGAATAAAGACACAACACAACATACTGATATTTTTTTTATCAATCTGACACAATTTCGATCAAAAACCCTGACATACTGCATCTAAAGTCACCAGGAAGTTGTGGCCTAATGCCTAATGGTTATAGAGTCGGACTCGTAACCCAAAGGTTGCGAGTTCGAGTCTCAAGTTCAGCAGGGATTGTAGGTGGGGGGGGCAATAGGGATTTCGCCTAGGGCATCAAATTGGCTAGAAACGGCCCTGTCACAGAGACTTGCAAGTGAAAGGCGTATTATTGTGCCATCTCAAAGAGGCACACAATCACTTTCATGGACTTTTTCATTAACTGTTCCCTCCTGGTGAAATGACCTTGCCCAAATCAATCCGAGCAGCTGAGTCCTTAACCATCTTCAAGAAATGACTAAAAACACATCTATTCCACCTTTATTTGACTAACTCTAGCACTTTCTATTCTATTTTCATTCTACTTTATCTATATTTATCTTCTTTTTTTATGAAAACAAAAGCAAAAAAAACAAAACAAACACTAGCTTTCAATTTTTTTTCTATTCTATCTACTTGTTTTTCTTTGTGTGTGTGTGTGTGTGTATAATATATATATATATATATACACCTTGCTACGTGTACTGCGTTAGGCTAACCGAGACTTGTCATTTGCACTTATATATTGTTGCTCTTTTGTTAGTTTTGACTGCTTTTATTGTCCTCATTTGTAAGTCACTTTGGATAAAAGCTCTGCTAAATGACTAAATGTAAATGTAAATGAAACTAATTTACATAAAAGAAGGCATGTTTATGCTGAGTTGATTTAAATATGCGTCTAATATAGAGTTAAGCCCCGTTCACACCAAGAACGATAACTATAAAGATAACGATATTAGCGTCCACACCAGCGAACGGTATCGTCTATTTATTCTAAGCGCACATACGTCTGCCGCTTTAAATTATTGAGCTCGTTACAGCAGGATGGATTCTGATTGGCTGTCAGTGTTTTATCGTTCATCAGCTGGAAAAAAATCATTTTGAAAGTGATCACAACGATATCGTTCCTCTGTATCGTTATCGTTATAGTTGTGGTGGGAACTATGCTATTCTTTAATATTGAGAACGATTTTCGATTTATCGTTATCTTTACAGTTATCGTGCTTGGTGTGAAGGGGCCTTTAACCTGGGGTTTGGGCTATAGGGTTTTGTGCTAAAATACAACATGCAGAAGTAGAACTACTGTTTAGTGATTTCAAACTAGAATCCTTTTATCATTTTGAAATCATTTGCCTAGTTGATGTTGTTTTAGTGAAGTAGAGATAGGGTCCTACTGCTCAGTTCTGGTAGAAACTTTAGTAATCTTTAGTCTTTGGCTTCAAGGCTTTTGTATGGTAATCAAAGATGATGGTAATTCGGTGGAGTGATGCAAAAAGCAGTCCGCTTTTCCTCTCTCTAGTGCGTCTCTCTGGAAAGTTGGGCTGTCTGCTCTCTGTCATTCCTGTCTCACTTGCTTTGACTTCTTTCCCTATGTCCAACTAACAAGACAAAGAGTCATTTCAAACCACAGAGGGCTCTTAAAATATCCCCCTAGTTTAATATAATGTGACACTGTTCACGAACACATGCTTTTGAGATTTCCTCTCGCTTTTGAGTGAAAATTGGAGAAAGAGAGTATTTCCTGTCAATGGATGTGATCTGCGTTTTCAGCATTAACAAGGATTAAATGTGTGATTTAAATTCCATGAGCATCTTTAAAGGAAGGAATAAAGTAGTCGGCTTCTTACAAATCCACTATGTAAAGTCATGATTGAGCTGTTTTTGACCAGGTAAAAAGGGTGTTGTTTTACACAACCAATGGGGAATTTTAACCAAAGTATATTACAGACATTTCATGAAAACCCTAAACAGTGGCTATCCAATGTCTCCAAACAGGTGATGCGAAAAAAAAAAGTTTCTGTTATCTTTTTTGGGGGGAGTCCCATTACATGACATTTTACAGCTTAAACTAACCTTGCTAAAAAAGGTAAAATGATCTGATATTTTAAGAGACTACTCTCAATGTCTGTGTCAGGCTTGTGTTGTGTTTTGTTCCCCATGTGCTCCCTGTGTCCCAGTGTTTATGTCCATATTTGATTAGTTTCCTGTTCCTGTCCTGATTATGTTGATTTAATTCCAGGTGTTCCCCGTTTATTTCCATTGATCCCAGGTGTGTCTCGTCAGCCACTCATCTTGTCATGTGTTTAAATAGTGTTCCTTGTTTTTAGTTCCGTGTCCGGTATTGTTCAAGTCTACCTGTGCTTTGTGAGTTTTCCTTGTTTCCGTATTGAAATTAAACTTCTGATGTACTCCTTGTCTCCCTCCGTTCCTTGCTCCGTACGCCACTCAGTAGTGCAACCATGACAGTCTGCATGTGTCCAATGATATAATTTAATCTTTTATGTTCCTGCATGTTAGTCGCAGCATATGATTTGTTGGACCAAAGTAAAAAAATATGCAAAACTATTTAATATTTTATTTTCAGGGATTTCTGTCTTTTATAAGGATTCTTTCTTTATGGGTAGCTGTATTACCATGCAATAAAAAAAGAAATTAAGAACACAATCATCAAATTACAAATGTATCTGTGTGAATTACACTTGAATGTATTTGAATAAAAGACAAAACAATATAAAATATATAAACATTAATATATAGGAAGAAGTGAATGTCATGTCACTGACTCAAATTCTACTTGTCAGAATCGAACATAATTCATCCAGAACTCGGCAGCAAGATACATTTTTAATGAGCCAAAAAGAATGCACGTCACACTTCTGTTTATCAATTTGCACTGGCTACCAATAGCTGCTCGCATAAAATGCAAGGCATTAATGTTTGCCTACAAAACCACCACTGGACTGCAAACACTGGTTCTGCACCCCTTTACCTAAATTCATTACTTCCGACTTATGTGCCCTCTAGAAGCTTGCGTTCTGCAAGTGAACGTCGCTTTATTGTGCCATCCCAAAGAGGCACAAAATCATTTTCACAGACTTTTAAATTAAATGTTCCCTCCTGGTGGAATGACATGCCCAACTCAGTCCGAGCAGCTGAGTCCTTAACCATCTTTAAGAACCTGCTAAAAACACATCTCTTCCATCTTTTTTTGACCCTCTAACTCTAGCACTCTCTATTCTTAAATGAAAAAAAAAAACACTCAATAATTCATTTACTGCTTGTTTTCTTTTTTTAAAAAAACAATAAAATACTAGCTTTTCCAATCTTTTTGTATTCTGTCTATTTGTTTTCTTTTTATTTATTATACAATTAACAAAAGCAAAAAAAGGCCTCTAACACTAGCTTGCTCTATTCTTTTTCTTTTCTATTGGTTTTCTTTTTGGAGTCTGACTTTAGAAATGGCATTGAGGTGAATATTTTGCAGGCCCAGGTCTACATCCAAGCAGTTCAATGAAAACAGATACATAGTCTGCAGATCCATGTGTTAATTTAACTTTCTAGACACTCACGTTCTCTACAGTATCTATATTATTTTACCTATACCAATAAATAACCACCCTCATCGTTCCAAACTTGCATGCATTTTCCCCCTTTGCCACACACACACACACACACACACACACACACACACACACTATATATGAAGACTTTTCCATGCTCTTTTCCATGCAGTTACAATGAACAGTAACTGAAGCTGTCAAGCGTCAAAAATACAAAAGATACAAAAGAATCCTCCCCCTCTCAAAAAAAAAATATTATAAAAGTGGAACATGTGACTTTTATGCTTTATTCAAAGTCAGGGCCCAATGGTTAACAGCTCAATGGTAGGGAAGCTTACCAGTGATGAAAAATGCAACATTTGGTCTGTAATAGACCTGGAATATAGCATATGCGTTCAGACTTTTTTCTTGCAATTCAGAATTGCATGATATAAAATCACAATTGCTAGCAACAAAGTCAGAATTGCCAGATATAAACTCGCAATTCTGACAAATAAGGTCAGAAATGCCAGATATAATCTCAGATGTGTGTCTCTATATCTTGCAATTTTGACTTTACAACATGCAATTGCGTGTACTTTTCTCAGAATTGAGATATAAACTCGCAAGTGTAAAAAAGTAGGCATTTTTTCCCTCTCAGAATCGGACTTTATAACTCACAATTGTGAGTTTTTATCTCAAAATTCTTTGAAAAGAAATCAGAATTGCAAGAAAAAAAGTCAGAATTGTGAAATATAAACTTGAAATTATGAGAAATTTATGAGCTTATATCCAACAATTCTGACTTTAACAATTGTGAGTTTGTATTTTGCAGTTCTGACTTTATAACTCGCAATTGCAAGTTTATTTCTCACAATTTTGAGAAAGTCAGAATTAAAAGTTGCAATTATTTATTGATTTATTTATTTATGCTTTTTCAGCAGCGGAAATAGGCTTCCATAGCATTTGAACTATAGTGCCCTTTTCAACCCTAAAAGTTGAATAATGACTAGTGCTGTCAAACGATTAATCACATTCAAAATAAAAGCTTTTGTTTACACAATATGAGTGTGCACTCTGTATATATATATATGCATGTATATATTTAAGAAAAATATGTTGTTTATATATTAAATATATATATATATATATATATATACATGTAATTATTTCAAAATATATACTGTAAGTGTGTGTATTTATATATACATAATAAATAAACACAGTACACATACATACATTATGTAAACAAAAACCTTTATTTTGGATGCGATTAATCACGATTAATCGTTTGACAGTACTAACAATGACAGAATTCTTAGATGCAAACAAGAAGTACTTAGAGGAGTTATTTTTTTAAAGCAGGAATCATTCTCACCAGTTAGGAGCACAAGGCGGTAAGGCTCACCAGGCTTTCTCTTGTAAGGCAGGACCTCCTGATATATTGGTAAATGGATACCGGCATGTCCTTTGCCCATCTTCTGTCTCAAATGTTGACCTGTGCTGTCCTTCCGGCTCAACCGGAAACTTTTCCTCAAACCAGCTGTGGGAAAGGAGAAAACTAAATCAATTAACTTGACATCACATGTAGTTAGTTTTAGAAGAATACTTGGACTCTTTTTTATCATTTTTTTATTGATTTAAATTTACATAGGTATGTCATAATAAGTCAAGCTTGATTTGATTCTTTTTTTCCCTTACATTGAGTAATGTGTTTAGAAATTACAGCATAATTTGCTCAGAGTTCCTACCAAGTAAATATGCCAAAAATATTTGGGCAGTTGTACTTACATCTGTTTCTTATTAGACAAGTGTGTTTGTCTGGATCATTAGTGTATGTTTTAGATATCTGTCAATGTCTAGTTTTGCTTTGGAATTGGTTCTTGGAACCTGAAATCAGACATGAGGACCAAAGAAGGGTCAACAAAACTGAGAAATCAGTAGACTTGAATCCAAGAGGTAGTCAAAACTATAGTCCTGGCAAGACCTGTTGTTTGGTAAATGTGCAATGCAAGCATTGCTGAACTTAACAGTGACCAAAGAGAATCAGTAATGTGGCTGTCAGAAGAAAAGTTTAACCATGAAGAAACCCCCATCAAGCAACTGAATAGCAGTATACACCAGGGTGCAAGAGATTTCTTAAAGACTATCCATGTGAATGTGATGGAAGTTTAAGTAGCACATTACAGTGCTTGGACGGTGGTTCCCAATCCTGTTCCTGGAAGCCCCCCAGCTGTACACATTTTGGATATCTTGCTTATCTGACACACCCTTTTGAAGTTTTGGAGTTTCTGCAAACAAGATGATAAGTTATATCAGGTGTGTGTGCATTTGATTAGGGAGACATCCAAAACGTGTAAGGTTGGGAAGTGTCCTAAAAGACTGGGAGACTGACCAAATCAAGCCGCGTTACCTGCCCTGTAGCCATTATGAAGATGCTCTTCTACTCTTTCCCCTTCTGGGTGAGGAGCAGGGTGTAGACCCTGCATAGACCAAACTTTTTGAAGATGGTGGTACTTTTTGGTAACTCAAAAGCAGTGGCCATCAACTTAAGACAATATAATTTTTTTAATTTTTTTAAACCAACATCAGTTAAAGCTTGGGTATATTCTTCATCCCAACAAGAAAATCCTGCAAGTGCTATAGATGTGGAGGGGTGGATAAAATCAAAACAAGCATCAAGGTCCTCTACTCTCAATGTGCCTCTCTTTCTCAGAACAGGGTCATAAATAGCCTGTTCCTGATCAGTTGCATGGCCAAAAGATCAATGAGGGGGAGGATTAATGCTATACTGTATATGTAATATGACACCATGAACCTCAAATGAGACATTTGAAGTCCAATAAAGTGCATCCATTCATCATGAAAAGTACTCCACATGGCTCTGGGGGGCAGGGGGTTGGTTGGTGGATAAAGGCCATTTGTAGTGAATCGATGCATTTGTGTAAGAAAAATATCCATATTTAATATTTTATAAACCTTAATCTCTAGCTACTGCTAGCTGTTGTACACGCGTTCATGAGAAAGTGGCATCCAGCGGATGACGTAAGATGTCAGCTAGAGATTATGGCTTATAATAAATATGGATATTTTTCTTAAACAAAAGCATTGATTCACTTCAGAAGGCCTTTATTAAACCCCCAAAGATATTTTTTTATGATGGATTGATGCACTTTATTGGACTTCAAAGTCTCAACACCCATTCACTGCCATTATAAAGCTGGGAAGAGCCAGGACATTTTTTAATATAACTCCGATTCTATTTATCTGAAAGAAGAAAGTTATATCCACCTACAGTAGGATGGCTTGAGGGTGAGTATATTATGGGGAAATTTTAAGTTTTGGGTATCCCTTTAATATCAGAGGAAACATGTTTCTTCTCTATCAGTACAATAGTATAATAAAGAACCCAGCTACCACTATATAAACATAACTTTTAGCAGGCATACAGCGCATGGAATCCCAAAGGGCCGTATCTAAATTATCCAACTCAGCAGCACAAACTAAACATACAGGCATCAGAAATGTTATTTCCAACATATAAATCAAATGTAGTATTGTGCAGTAAACAAAAGTTCAGTGTTTGAAGGATTGTTGGTGGAAAAGATACATACATCAAACTGTTTTCAAGTAACTTTCAACACAATTTGACACCATTTATAAACAGATTTGTAAAAATGTTGGGTAATCACTGTCAAAAACGTCTGCTGCCATGCCGAGAAACAAAAACTGGAGGTCATATTATAATTGTCCAATTCATTTGCTAGCTACCAATGATAACAGTATCATAAACACATTACAGGGCACTGAGTAGCTTTTGTTGTTCATCTACACCTCTGGGAATTATGTAGCGGAGGGCCTGAACATAGGAACATAACGGTTTTGGTGAACAGACGTAAGGCATATCTCACATTGTCTGCTGCCGTATCCTCTGTACAAATACTTGTTTCATTGGTCCCACCAATATTAATCTTGCTGAATCCTTTAAATGCTTCCAGACGTTTAATGTCCTACATAGACAGCAAAATTGGGGCCTGAAGGCCAAACAGCTTCTAGATAAATAAATCAAAAAGAAGCTAGGAAGATTTGACAGAGATAATCAAACCAAGGCCTGAAGATTAATTTTATCTGGCCCACTGAACTCCCACTGGATAGGGATCTCTGGACAGTAGTTTTTCTTTCTTAGATTCTTTAAATGTATTTATTTATTTATTTAACAAATTTTTTTTACTTTTATGCAGTTCAGGATATCTAAGTAGACTTAAGTAAAAAAAATTAAATAACTAAACTAAAAACACATGTACATTTTTTTTTATTATGTAACCCAAAACTTGCTTCATGTGGTAACTAACAAAATGAATAAACAAATGTACAAATCAAGAATTAAAAAAAATACTTAAGATCTGGATGACTAAATCAACCTTATTACACTGATGGAATACAGGACTACAATTGAAAGCAGTTTCCCTCAGTTTTATGTTACTGAAAGATACAATAAGGGGGAAAAAATACAGGACAGGAAAAAAAGAACAATTTATGAAAATAAGCTATTATGAGGTTATAGGAAAGATGTTTTTATGAACACAACAATGCTGCTATAGATATACCAAAGAGAATCTTTTAGTCTGTGACACTATAATTCCATCAGCCTTCACGCTCATCTCTGTTCACAGATGACCTTGGTTACAACTAATGAACATTACTGCTTGTTTCCATCCTGTTCAAGGAAAGCTGAGCGGCTGGCAGTAAATAACCTGGATCAGTCCCGATCCTTAATGCAGCTGATGACTGGTGATGTTGGTGCTGACAGAGGCGGACTTTATCTAAAGATTAGAAACTTGGAACCTGCAGCATTTTTCGTGTCGGAAAACTGACAGAAACATAGCCACATGACCAGTTTCAGAAAATAACACAGTGCAGGATTCACCACTCCAGAAGGTTAATGGTCTTTAATTCATGGGCTACACCAAAGCAGGGCTTTCACCACATGCATGCGGTCTCGCGGAAGTCATGTTCTGACTTACTGCAAGTGATATGGGCATCTCCTAGCTCTGACATCTGTGAAATTACACTCAGTGAGTAGAACAGCCTCCTGTCTTATTATAAGTTACAGAGATGTTTGAGTTTTTGGGAGCAGTTTTGTTAGGATTGACTTGGGATCATGGTAATCCTGGTGGTCATGTTGTTTTCCAGAGTCTGTAACATGGAAGATCACTGTATTTCCTGTTGTGAGCTAAATTCGCTACACCTGTACAAATACTTGTTTGATTGGTCCCACCGATATTAATCTTGCTGAATCCCTTAAATGCTTCCAGACATTTAGTGTCCAACATAGAGAGCAAAATTGGGCCTGAAGGTCAAACAGCTTCTTTATAAATAAATCAAAAAGAAGCTAGGAAGATTTGACAGAGATAATCAAACCAAGGCCTGAAGATTAATTTTATCTGGCCCACTGAACTCCCACTGGATAGGGATCTCTGGACAGTAGTTTTTCTTTCTTAGATTCTTTAAATGTATTTATTTATTTATTTAACAAATTTTTTTTACTTTTATGCAGTTCAGGATATCTAAGTAGACTTAAGTAAAAAAAATTAAATAACTAAACTAAAAACACATGTACATTTTTTTTTATTATGTAACCCAAAACTTGCTTCATGTGGTAACTAACAAAATGAATAAACAAATGTACAAATCAAGAATTAAAAAAAATACTTAAGATCTGGATGACTAAATCAACCTTATTACACTGATGGAATACAGGACTACAATTGAAAGCAGTTTCCCTCAGTTTTATGTTACTGAAAGATACAATAAGGGGGAAAAAATACAGGACAGGAAAAAAAGAACAATTTATGAAAATAAGCTATTATGAGGTTATAGGAAAGATGTTTTTATGAACACAACAATGCTGCTATAGATATACCAAAGAGAATCTTTTAGTCTGTGACACTATAATTCCATCAGCCTTCACGCTCATCTCTGTTCACAGATGACCTTGGTTACAACTAATGAACATTACTGCTTGTTTCCATCCTGTTCAAGGAAAGCTGAGCGGCTGGCAGTAAATAACCTGGATCAGTCCCGATCCTTAATGCAGCTGATGACTGGTGATGTTGGTGCTGACAGAGGCGGACTTTATCTAAAGATTAGAAACTTGGAACCTGCAGCATTTTTCGTGTCGGAAAACTGACAGAAACATAGCCACATGACCAGTTTCAGAAAATAACACAGTGCAGGATTCACCACTCCAGAAGGTTAATGGTCTTTAATTCATGGGCTACACCAAAGCAGGGCTTTCACCACATGCATGCGGTCTCGCGGAAGTCATGTTCTGACTTACTGCAAGTGATATGGGCATCTCCTAGCTCTGACATCAGCAAAATTACACTCAGTTGGTAGAACAGCCTCTGTCTTATTATAAGTTACAGAGATGTTTGAGTTTTTGGGAGCAGTTTTGTTAGGATTGACTTGGGATCATGGTAATCCTGGTGGTCATGTTGTTTTCCAGAGTCTGTAACATGGAAGATCACTGTAGATAGAAAGGGAGCAAACGAATCAAAAAAAAAAAAAAAAAAAAAAAAAACACGGATACAAAAACAAGATACCCACTTAGACAAATCAGCACTAATAAAATCAGCTCAGATAGTTAAGTGTACCATCAAATCAAATTTGGGCCTTTTAGTCCATGTGTATTAGCTTTGAAGTCAAATAGTATTTTGCTGCAAAATGGTGTCTGGGGCTGAGATAGATAGATAGATAGATAGATAGATAGATAGATAGATAGATAGATAGATAGATAGATAGATAGATAGATAGATAGATAGATTATTATATTTCTTTCATGACAACTCTCTAATGATTTTAGCATGGTAATGGATATGACAATATTAAAGGGGTCATATGATGCAATTTAAATTTTTCCTTTCTCTTTGAACTGTTACAAGCTCTTGGTGCATAAAGAAGATCTGTAAAGTTGCAAAGACTAAAGTCTCAAATCCAAAGAGATATTCTTTATAAAAGTTAAGAGTCAACCACGCCTACCTAAAACGGCTCGTTCTAACACGCCACCACATATCTACGTCACGATGTGGGAAGATTTGCATAAGGCCGCCCAAATGTTCACGCAAAGAAAGAAGGCGTGACTTTTATTCTCTCTGTAGTATTGTTGCTGCCGCCATGTCTTGAAGGCGCTGTGTGTTTCGTTGTGAAAGCGAAACTACTTTGTTTGGCCTTCCAAAAGAGGACGATTTCTGCTTTGTCATGCCTAGAGCTGATCCGTGCTGGTCGCTGAGGAAATACATCAACTTCATACTGTGGATCGCCGGATCGGCTTTCACCGTGGACGAAGCGGAGTCATGCCCGTGGTCGTCACATGTGGTTGCCGCAAGCCCGCCGACCGCTCCTCCGTTCTCAAGCCCGCCCGCCACCGCTCACTCTAGCCCTCTGGCCGCCGCTCACTCTAGCCTGCTGTGTGTTTCGTTGTGAAAGAGAAACTACTTTGTTTGGCCTTCCAAAAGAGGACG